TTCTGGGCTGGTAAGTGGTATGTCAACCAGATATGGGCCAGGCCTGGAGTAGATGGCACTGTTTAGGTGATGGCATGCCACATCTGGCCCAACTGTAGTTTGGTTTACGAGGGCCATGCGCAGGTCTGGCCCGGATCCGGCATCAAGCTGGCACTTCTGACTGATTGGTGTCATGGCAGGAAGTATGTCAACCAGATGTGAGCCAGGTCTGGCAATGATGGCACTGTTAATGTTCCTATTTTTCTATTTTAGTTGGAAGACCCAAATGCCATGTTGCAATATGATACTGCTATGGTAGCCAACATTTCAAATGCAGATTTGACAGGTTTGTGAGTGTACACTTTATCCAAAACCTAGTGAGGGTAAACATGAGTAATCATATTTACCACTGGGTGGCTGTAGCTCAGGAGGTAGAGCAGGTCACCTACTGATTGTAAGGTTAGTGGTCTGATCCCTGGCTCCTCCAGTCTGCATATCAAGAGGGTGAGTGTGTACAAATGTAGTTAGGAATCACTCAGTTTAGAGAAAGTGTGTGATTGGGTGAATGTGGCATGCTGTATAGAGCACTGTCGGTAATCTGGGAAAGCAGAAAAGTGCTATGTAAGAATCAGTCCATTCACTGTCTGAAGAGAGTTTTGTCATGTTGCTTTTGGACTGTTATGTTCCAGCACATGTTGTTATTACATGGCTTGATTAAGGTACACATTAGGCTGACATCTGGGGCCAGAGCTGAAACTGTTCTGGGCCAGCACAGGACCAGCAGTGTGTATGCAACTTGTCTTGTGCTGGGCCATGTGTGGGCCACCTCTGGCAAACCAGATCTGGGCCACCAAAGGGCCGTCATTCTTTGCAGTATCTGGGCCATGTGTAAGCACATTGTGTGGGCCAGATCCAGGCCATACCAATTTTGCTATCTGGGTTGAGGGAAGTTATTATTTCGTCACTGCAAGCCTAAATGGCAGTCTTGTTCATGCATTAATCACAAGATGTCACTTAACCCTTTAAAGCCGGTCAGAGCGGGCACGCTCCGTTTTGCGTAACTATTTTAAAATCCCGGTAGATCTGCAACCACGTAAGCTAGCACAATAATTTTTTTTGCATATGAAACCGGAGGAGTTGTACTTACATCTTATGCCATCAGCTTGCCCTAGGTCAGGGGTGCCCAATCCCGGTCCTTGAGAGCTACCGTCCTGCAGCTTTTAGATGCATCCTTGTTCCCACACACCCGAATCAAATTGTTAATTGGCTTGTTATCAGGCCTTTGCCAAACATGATGGCATGCTGAAGAGGTAATCAAACCATTTGATTCAGCTGTGTTGGAGTAGGGATGCATCTAAAAGCTACAGGATAGTAGCTCTTGAGGACTGGGATTGGGCAGCCCTGCCCAAGGTCATGGTTTCCTTCCACATAAAGCTTTGCAAAAACTGCATAAAAAGCACTTGCAGCAACAAAAACATAATATTCCAGAAACACGCTTTGCCAATCCGATCAGCTGTTCATAACACTTCCTACGTCCATCAGCGCGAATTATCGCATTTCCGCCATGACTTGCCCGAAACCGGAAGTGACGTCATTTTGCGGAAATGTAGTTTTTTACTTTCAGGGCCTCATGAGCCTATACTGGTGTTTTTAAAAGTTATGTTTGACTTTATGGCTTTCTGTGTCATTTCTGGGATGCTTACAACAAAAATTGCACTGCTGGAAATAGTTTATTTTGATGCATATGCAGCTTTTTTGCAAATTTGCACTATAATATTTATTTTTGTTTTTCCTGCAGTATATAAAAATTGGTGTATTTCAAAAATAAAACTATGAAGACACTCAAAATAAATTTTCTGTGGTGGGAAACTATCTTGTGCAACTTTTTTGTAGTTACAGTTTTGAGGGATAAGCCTCTTAAATTTCTCTAACTAGAAATATATGTTAAAAAAACTAAAACTTTTTGTAGTTTATTGCACTTTGTACTGGAACTGTTTGTATGTTATTTCTCCAGGCCTATAGGGGGCGCAGGTTTGCACAGTTTGCTATGTTGAGCCAATTAGTCACTAAAAGAAGTGTGATAGGAAGTGTTTGCTCATGAGTGAAACAAGACATGGTGTGTTTCTTCCAATCCAAAGCCATCCACTCCGTTAAATCCCTTTGAGTGGCAATATGAGTAAGTTTCTTAGTTGTGTTTACCTTTCAAACAGGGTATATGACATTATTGAAGTTATTTGGAAACATTTGATGTGTTTTATATGTCCACTTAAGTTCAACCCAAGCTAATGTTTATGTGACATTTCTGTATTCTGTATCTTTTCAGTTTCACACTTTTTTGCATTAAATCCTGTCCAAATACAACACGTGCCTGTTCCTTGGAGGAAGTGATGCAAGAGAGAGTTTAGCTGGCTGT